CAGGTTCTTGGCTGCTGGTTGGGGTTAAACCACGACATAACCATACCTGGGGTTTATTCAGATTTCACATGCTCACTCATATGCAACAGCACTCTGGTTTCCCACTGGGATCCAGGATAATACCTCATCCCAACACTCTGGTCAGCTGGGCCACAGGTATCACAAATGTCATTCCCTTACCTCCTTGGAAATGCCTACAAGCCACCACACAGCACTTCACAGGTCCTTTACCTCATCACCATTTGGTGTCATTTAGTTCACACTGTCTAGTGGAACTTTGCAAAGTTTTCACTTGTTTCACTTCCTCATTATTGCAAACAGTAGACTGGAAATACCACTATGAAACCCAAATGGTTCTGGCTTATGTGCACATACTCTCTCTTGTGTACACTGCCCACTTCTGCTCCAGCAGTTAGTAAAGACATCTTAACAGCACAGTGATCTCTTGCTGTATTAAGGGGAAAAAAATCACTGATTGAGTTTCCAGAGAAGACATTTGCCCTAGGCTCCAGCTTTGTTTTCCATTGACTGCTTCCAGGGTGGATGTCACTATCGTATTCCTTATTTTCTCCAATTTGTATGGGATTCAAACCGATTATTGTTCTTCATTTCTCCTGCAAAGAGCTACATATATTCAGCAAGAGAATGCAGGGAGGGATTCCTTGACCAGTTCACTATTTGTACAGACTGATCACTCCTTCTATACAATATTAGGGGTTTGAAAAATTAGAAACATCACTGCTTGATAGAAAAGATAATCCTAGATTATCCCTGAGTACAGCCCCTAGTCAAGTAGCTGACTTATCCTTTCTTTCCATCTCTGTGCCATTTTTCTTTAATCTTTGCTACTGATAATGAAACAAGAGTTAAAATAATTAGAATAAAATAGAAAGGATTTTTCAGTAAATAGAGCAATTAGAATAATTTGTTTAATATATTCTACTGAGCACTGCAGCTGTCTGATTTGAGACATTATTTCCATCGCATACTCAAAGAGGATGTGCCAATTGGCAATACAGTTTTAGAAAAGAAGGGTGAGAAACAGTTCCTGACTCAAAGAGGATGTGCCAATTGGCAATATAGTTTTAGAAAAGAAGGGTGAAAAACAGTTCCTGGGAAAAGCTGATCTTGAAAGGGCTGAAGGACTTTTTTTTGTTAATATGATGGTGGGGGGTGGTGCAATTGTTTGCTTTGCCACCTCCTGATCACATCGGTCACAAATACAAAGCTACAAAATAATATTCTGCCTTTTTAGTTTACTTAAGTAAGGGAAAGAAGAGTAGCACATCAGCCAGAAACAAACAACAGCTGGACTCGATGATCTTGGAGGTCTTTTCCAACCCAGTTGATTCTATGATCAATTCTACCTGAAAACGAATGCACTGAAAGGAAAGTTAAAACAAAAAGGACGTGTCAGCAGATGCTGTTTATGTGCACAGACAAAGATAAAATGGGACCTTTAAGTCATGTTTTGGTTTTCTTTTCAGAAGGAAAATGGCAATGTGGATTTGTATTTAGATCCTCAGGTGCCCAGTCTCTGAAGTCACTGCTTTAGGATCTTGCTGACCATTAAACAGGAAGCATTAGAACTTTTCAGGCACTATAATGCAGTAGTGATTTCAGCAAAGTGATCATAAGCTACTTCACACAAAGCTCCACTGCTCATTCCTCATAAAAAAATACAAAAAGAAAGTTAGGCAAGGAATTAAGTCAAAAACCCAGCTGATAACTATGCAGATATCTCTGTTTCTACCAAAGAGAAGCCACTCCTGGTTCAATAAATTAACAACTGCAGCATCTTCTGATTGCTGCCACACAAATGCCTTAAATCCAAGGAACTACAAGAAAAAGCACTTGTTTCTAGCCACAATGCAGACCTCAACACTCAGGCTGGTGAAATTAATATGGAGAGCCTTTAATCAATCACTTCCCAAATGACTTCTGCAAGGAATTCAAGGTGTCATTCTAACCTTTGTTTAATACAGATTTGCTCCCACCGAATTTCACTCAGTAACTACCCTCAAAGGGAGAGTATCACCACCTGAAGATTGCCAGAGATTATTCAAGTGAAAGAAACTTTCTTTTTCCTACTTCGTGTAATTTCTTGTCTTACCCTCATCACCTGAGTATCTTTTTATTTTCCACTAATAAGTAATGGTCTTTCTATTACAAAAACTGGCAGGGACATCCAGGCAGCTGCAAAGACA